GCCTTAGGCACTATGCCACCAGAGCTCCCATGATGGAATAAACCTAAACCAAACTCACTGCTGTTAAGTAGATCCTGACTCACAGTAACCCCTCTTTGGGCTTCCAAGGTGGTATCACTACGGAAGTAGATTGCCCAGTCTTAAGCTAGACAAAACTAGTACACAAGGAAATTTCAAAAATCATCAATTGGACACATGTAATTACTGATCCAAAAAGAACTGTGCTTCAAGTGACACAAAGAATGCCTAAAATCTTCAATCCCTCATCCCAAAGGGTAAACTGAGGCAACTATAGGACGCTATTTGTCAAGAAAACAATACTGGCAGACCTAAGAAAAGGAACTCAAAAAGATCTAATATTTATTTAGCTGGTAACAAGTGTAGGTTTTTCCCTCAAACATGCTCACTGGTAAAGCTCCTGGACAGACTAAACATAGGCAGCAGTTGTCACTGTGGGTGTTCTGCCAACCCAAGTGTAAAGTTGTCATCAGAAATGAGTATGTGGCTTCGAGTGAGTTACAGAAATCAAACAAATCTGCATCTTGGACTCTACACAAGCCAGCTCTGCTCAGGATGACCTGGACTCCTTCCCATTGGTACTGGTACAATTATCAATAAAAGTCATCCTCTATGAGCAGGGAAGGGAAATCAAAGTTTATGTCAAACAGGAAAGATGACTGCCCAGAGTCCAAGTTCACTAATAACAATGTATAAATACTAGCCACACAGAATCAGTTAAAAGTGATATCTCCCACTGTCACTTATTACTTTTAAAACAAATTTCACTGCACAGCTTAAGGCCTCAGTTTCACATAAGGCAAACAGAAGTAAAAACAGACCAAATAAAAGGACCAAAACAATCCTGAAACGCTTTTATCAGGGGAATGTTATTATATAAGGAGCCATGGTAGCACAGTGGTTAAAGCACTTAGCTGCTAACCAAAAGGTTGGTGTTTCAGACTCACATGCAACTCTTTTGGTAGACATGGTAGTCTGCCTCCATGAGGATTTAGTCTTGGAAACCGTATCGGGCAGTTGTACTGTCCTGATTGGGTCGTCAAGTCAGAACTGATTAACGGCAAAGAGTTTGATTTTTGGTGGATTACTAAATAGTTAATTCCAATAAGATATGGAACTCATGCTGTGTGGTTAAATATAAGACCTCAAAAAAAGCAAAAAATGTGTTAGTCTTTTTCAGAAACCTCTGTGCTCTGGATAGCTGTTTTCTAGAGCTACTTTTAAGATTTCTGAGTCTCCAGAACTTTGCTTGACACTTAGCTCCAGTCACTTCAAATGTGTCTCTTTCCGAACGATCACCCTGCTCCTCTACTTCCCAGATAAAAGCTTTCCACTTAATAGTTGTCACACAGACCAGGGAAGATGTGTGATTCCCTTTAGTGAACAATGCTTTTAGGTTTTGCTCTAGTATGCCTCTGAATTCAAAGCACAAGTGCTTTAAATCCAACTTTTGTAATACACACTGAACTCTTTAAATTACCTATTTAAATTTCCCCACCAAGAGAAATGTTCATCAGACTTATTAACTGTCACAATGGAAGTAAATTCACAATAAATTTTTTTTTTTTTTGCACATGGGAAAAGGTTCTGTGATCTTTCAAAGTAAAATACATCAATAAACACTCCAAATGAGAGATCAAGATTCAATTTTGTATAAGTCTGAGTAAATGGGACTGGCAAGGGAGAAATCCTCCTAGAAAATATTCAAGATAACACAATTTTGCTACCACCTTCACCTTCAGATCAGTGTTTTTGTCTTAAATTGTGAGTCTGTACACAGTGGTAAGCTATGAAATAAAGATCAGTTCAATGGAAATTGATTTGGTTTTAGAAAATGAAGTAATATATTATAGATGACAAAATATCAAGAGTGCTTTGCACATACAATTGTTTAGTGAAACTTGTTCCAAACTATGCACAGGGCTGGTGTGAATTGTACTTCTTACTGAGGGTCAAGGTCAAAAAAGTTTGAGACAATGATCCAAGGAATTCCAAGAATGGAAAAAGAGCTAAATCAGATGAAAACACAAGAAGCCCCTGAAGCAAAGTCTGCCTTCTTCAAAAACATATTAATAATTATTTTAGGAAGCCAAACACAAGATGCAATCATGTGTCTGAATTCCAAGAAATGTGAAAACTTTAGCCACTCCCTAAACACTTCTCCCTCCTTTATTTAATTTCCAATTGGTAAACTTAAAGACATTATCAACTCTAGCATCTATCATTTTAGAACAAGTTTTCAATTTTGTCCCACCATCACATGTGGCAATGTCTGAAGAAATTCTGGTGGTCACAACTGGGGGTGGAATACAGTACAGGTGAGATGATACTGGCATCTAGTGGATAGAGGCCAAAGACGCTGTTAAACATACTATAATGCATTGGATCCAAAAAACCTATTTGCTGTCAAGTAGATCCTGACTTCTAGAGACCCAATAAGGCAGAGTAGAACTGCCCCTTGGGTTTCCAAGGCTGTAATCTGTATGGAAGCAGACGGCCATGTCTTTCTCCCACAGAGAGCTGGTGGGTTTGAATCACCAACTTTTAGGTTAACAGCTGATCTCTTAAGCACTGTGCCACCAGGGAACAGCCCCCTACAACAAGGAATTACCCAGTTCAAAATGCCAGTAGTGCTAATGTTGTGAAACTCTGTTTTAGATCAAGATTGTATTACTTTTAAATCTAAATAAACTAGGGATAGACACTCTTAATGCAGTTCACCTTAGTTCTTGGAAGCTAACCAGCTGCATCATTAGTATATCTACAAATAGGTTTATAAACAAATATAAAGTAAGTCTGTCCTTTTGCAAATACCAGAGAACATGGAAATCTCTGTTCAATACGGATTTCTGTAAAATAATCATTTTTCATTTTGGGGGAGTACTAAGTTGGAAAGGTCTCTAATCTTAAGTGTACTTCATATGTACATATGTACCATACATTACATAATACTTTTCTCTTAACTCAAATAAATCAGTGAACAACATAGTAGTAAAGACTGATACAGCCAATGTTGTTGTTATGTGCCGTCAAGTTGGACCTGACTCATAGCGACCCCTCCTTGGGTTTCCGAGGCAGTATCACTATGGAAGTAGATTGCCCCATCTTCCTTCCGAGGAGTGGCTGGTGGGTTTGAACCGCCAGCCTTCTGGTTAGCAGTCAAGTGCTTTAGGCACTACGCTACCAGAGCTCCCGATACAGCCAATATGCAATGAAAATTTATGTATTTTCCCAAAGCATCCCAGTATAACCATAACAGGCATTGCCAATAGATGGGCTGTCTGTAACAAAACAAAACACCTAGAAGGAAACATAATCAAAAGGCAATGAGTTATCCAAGTGATGGATGGGTCTTCTGTCCTCAATACCTAAATATCACCCTCCTTATGCAGCTTCCTTCTTCTCCATATTCAGGCGTCCTCAAAGGAAAAGACTTAGAAAATTGTTAATGGTGTGAGGAAAAAAAAAAATCAATCAATCTATCTATTTGGAGAAAAATTCCTCAGAAACTAAGATAGATAGGCATTAGGAACTCAGAAAATGTTTATAAAGCATTTAGAACAAACTAAGTACTCTAAAAAAAAGGTAAAAAAACCTCTGTCATGAGTATTATGTTCTCTTAAGAACTATCTATATGGGATCAAATTGACAACAGCAACTCAGAAGATTAGATAGAACCTTACCAGGCAGTCAGTTTATGTTAATGAAGAACAACTTAGTGAAGGAGGAGGAGAATGGTTACACAACTTGAAGAATGTAACCAATGTCAGTAACTTGTACAATTAGAAACTGCTTATTTAGTGTATATGCTTTGCTGTGTAAAGGGTATTCTCAAAAACAAAGTAAGTAAAATTTAGGGGAACAAAAAATCAGACCTTAAAAAAAAAAAAAAAAGATTATCTTAGTTCTTAAAGAAAAGACAACACTCTTTAGAGGTATAAGGAGAAAAGGGGTGGTGAGAAGTACCTGATTGTAACTGGAACCACAAAAACCTTAATTTTTAATTACAAATATTATCATTAAATTACCCACTGACCAAGCCAACCCACCTCGATCCCATTGTCTCCAGAGATAACCCTTTGGTGTGTATCTTTCCAAAACTTTTTGTATATATTTAGACACATATCTATTTGTCCATACAAATACGTGTGGCTTCGTGTATTTTGCTCTGACGTCTATCCACGACATCATAAAGATTTAACCTACTCATTACAGCAGTCATCAGCCTTTCTAAAAAAGCGTGTTTCCAAAGTCAAAAACCCTGCCCAGCTTCCCACCAAAACCTAAAAAAGTGTGGTGGATGGTGAGATGTACCGATGAGGGGAAAAAAATGCCAAACTCGGGCATACAGGTGGAAATTTAAGGTTTCTCTACCAGGGAGGTGTATGGGATGGAGGCCCAAGGCTTCGTTAGAGATCACCATGGAGAAAATATCTGCCCCTAAACGCCATCATAGGCTTTGAACCCCTCTCCTAAAATCCCAAATCTAAAGACCTCCTCCTCTTGCAGCGCTGATTGGACGACCTGCCCGAACGCTTTCCTTAGGCTGTCTGCCTACTGGCTGCGGATTTGGTCCATCCATTTTACCCGCTTGACTCCCGCATTCCCCATTGGAGTCAGATCGCTGCTTCTTGGAGAAGCCCAACCTACCGCGCGCTTCGTGCTTATTGGTTCAGTGAACCGCTGCTCAGGCGGAGATAACCCGCCTTCCACATTCCGATAGCCCAAGGACCGATCAGTCGTTAGCTGAAGGCAGATCCAATTGGCCTATAACCTCGCCAGTCAAACGCTTGGGCAGCACAGCTCCGTAGAGCCCACAGGAATAAAAGATCCCGCCCCCTGTTCTTCTATTGGTTGGCCCGAATCACCGTTCCCCCCTTCACTATCCCCCATCCCGCGGCCCATTCATTTCACACAATAATGAGCCCAATAGAAATCGGTTTAAGACCTCTTATGGGTAGACAAGGTTGTCTGGCACTTACCAAGGATCGAGAGTGATCACTCAACGCCTAACGTCTTTCCTGTTCCTCTATGGCGAGACCGGACCACAAGCCACCGCTGCCGCCGCCTTCTGCGCAACGCCAACCGCCCGCCAAAACGGATCCTTCCCTGCGCCTGCGCGACCAATCCTGAGACCGGACCCTTTCTCCGCCCATAATGCCTGCGCAAGTCCCATCATTGCGCAGGCGCTGTAGGTTCACCGCCTCTCCAGCCGGCCATTTCACGTGTTACAAGCGGCAGGTGGGACTTCTTAATGCGCTTGCGTAACCTCGCCATTTTAGTACACATGCGCTCTATGGTGGTCACCCCCCCGCCCCGGGCCAAAAAAATTGTCACAGGTCAAATTCTTTTCTAATGAATAGTGTTAAACTAGATTTGAGGAAGAATTGAATGTAATATTGGGAGCATGGAGATTCGAAAACTTTAAACACCTTAAACCAAAAAACCAACCTCATTGCCGTTGAGTGGAATTTCCACGCATAGTGACCCTATAGGGCACAGTAAAGGCTATAAATCTTTTGGGAAGCAGACAGCCGGAGTGGCTGCTGTGTTCCAATCCTCAACCATTAGGTTACCCGCCGAGCACTTAACCACTGCGCCACCACGGCGCCTTTAAGCAGGTTAGGTACATTCAAATATGAGTGATTGATCTGATAGCCAATCAGACTAGATAAGAGTAACATTACTTTGGAGCCAAGGGGTGGAGAATGCGTAGAACGCCCAAACTGATGACGTTACATAGCAATGTGGCACCACAGCCCAATAGTAGGAGGAAGCTATTTTTTACATCCAATCAGAACAAAGAATGGGCGGAGTCTACCAATGCGGAAAGCGAGGAGGCGGGATATAAAGAGAGGCCGTAGGTAGGCTGGAAGATACATTGGGTAGGTTACTCCTTTCTGCCCGTGGACTCCGCAGGGGAAGCATCGTTAAAGCATTTTTATTTTTTCTGCCCACTGCCGTCATGTCTAAGTCAGAGGTGAGTAAGATGTTTTTTTTTAACCTCATTTTCTTTCTCTTTTTTGAGTTCCTTAGGATTCGGCTTCGTTTCATTGCTTGCACCAGCCCACCCGACAGTTCTTCGTTTGCTGCCAGGGCCTACCCCTCCCAAAGTTCGAGTCGCCATTTTGTTCTCATCGTCGCCATGAGGCCGCAGTCCGGCAACCATTAGTTATTACGCCGGGCTGGGGTTACGTTTGGCAGGACTTTTAGGGACAGTGGTGTTCCCCACCCCCCGTGCTCATGGACTACCTTTCTTAGTTTTTAGTGTTCTATTGGCGATGTACCCCTCCCGCCAAGTCCTTTTGTTGGCGCGTGCGTCTTTAGGCACATACGGACGCATGCGCTCCGGGCTTCCCTGACTTTATAGTCTCCACCGTAGTGCCACCCCTGTCAGGGAGAAACACGTGGTTTATAGCAATCCAAAGGAACAATAAATTCTACTTACCTTAATGCTTACAAGAGCTCTGGTGGTGTCGTGGTTAAAGCACTCGGCTGCTTACCAAAAGGTCAGTAAGTTCTAACCCGGTAGCCGCTGTGAGGGACAAGGGTGAGGCAATCTGCTTCCGTAAAGATTTAGAGGCTTGGAAATCTTGTGTGGGGCAGTTCTGTACTGCCCTGAAGGATCTCTGAGTCAGAATACGATGGGTTAGGTTTTTTTAAAATTATTATTATTTGATGATAGTGCCTAGTTTTTATTCTTCCAAACTTAAAGAAAGCTGAGTTTCGTGTAATATTTTTAATACTCTTTTTTTCATTCCTAGTCTCCTAAAGAACCCGAACAGCTGCGAAAACTCTTCATTGGAGGGTTGAGCTTTGAAACAACAGATGAGAGTCTGAGAAGCCATTTTGAGCAATGGGGAACGCTCACAGACTGTGTGGTAAGATAAAAGGGCAGTAAAAGTAACAGACTTACTTGTTTGTGTTCTTGTAGTTGACTGAATATAAAGATTGATAACAGGATTATAGCTTGTGGAACGGTATGATTTTGTTATTGATCCGATTCTCACTCTAGGATCCCTACCCAGAGTACTGAGAAAATAAAAAGGGGTTTATATTTCTCCTAGTATAACATTTCCAATTTCCTTGCTCAGAATAGGCATGATAGCTTCTGAACCTTAGGAATGAGAATGAATTAAAGGAATTAAGTGAATTAACAATTTTCTTAGGTAATGAGAGATCCAAACACCAAGCGTTCCAGAGGCTTTGGATTTGTCACTTACTCTACGGTGGAGGAGGTGGATGCAGCCATGAATGCAAGACCACACAAGGTAGATGGAAGAGTTGTGGAACCAAAGAGAGCTGTCTCACGGGAAGTAAGTTTTCCTTCTCATTTGGGAATGTGCTACTAGATGGACTTTATCAGCTATTGAAAAAATATTAAGATTCTTGGTTTAGGGGTGCCTTTTGTTAAATAACAAATGGTCTATTTTCTCATTAAGGACTCTCAAAGACCAGGTGCCCACTTAACTGTGAAAAAAATCTTTGTTGGTGGCATTAAAGAAGACACTGAAGAACATCACCTAAGAGATTATTTTGAACAATATGGGAAAATTGAAGTGATTGAAATCATGACTGACCGAGGCAGTGGCAAGAAGAGGGGCTTTGCTTTTGTAACTTTCGACGACCACGACTCTGTAGATAAAATTGTCAGTAAGTATCAGGTAACTGGAGCTTATTAAGGATTCTAAAATCCATGTGGTATTCAAAACCAAAAGACCTTGTTTTCTTTTTTTAGTTCAAAAATACCATACTGTGAATGGCCATAACTGTGAAGTAAGGAAAGCCCTCTCAAAGCAAGAGATGGCCAGTGCCTCTTCTAGCCAAAGAGGTATGTTTGTTGCTTGTTTCAACCTTAAGATGATTCTGAGTAATCTCCAGTCTGTGTGGTCTGACGTTACTTTACTTATTCTTAAGGTCGAAGTGGTTCTGGAAACTTCGGTGGTGGCCGTGGAGGTGGCTTTGGTGGGAATGACAACTTTGGTCGTGGAGGAAACTTCAGTGGGCGTGGTACGTATGAATATTTAAAAAAAAAAAAATTCATTGCCATCGAATTGATTCCAACTAATAGCTACCCCCGTTGGGTTTCCAAAATTGTAAGTCTTTACAGAAGTAGGTTGCCCCATCTTCCTTATATGGAGTGGCTGGTAGGTTTGAACCACTGACCTGGGTAGCAGCCAAGTATCTTATCTGTTATGCCATCAGAACTCCTTATATGTAGGTACAGTTTACAGTAAATTTGTAATTTCATTACCCTAGATAATACCATTTTACAGCTTGTGGGAGTATGTAACTAAAAACTCATTTCTATTGAGGACAGGGTACAGTTTCCAAGGTTGTAAATCTTTTATGGAAGCAGACTGCCACATCTTTTCCTATAGAGCTGCTGCTGGGTTCAACCCATCAACCTTTCAATTAGCAGCTGAGTGCTTAACTGCTGCACCATCAGAGTGTTAGTATGTACCTACCAACTTTTGTTTCCAGAGTTAAGTTTTCTTGATTTCTGATTAGAGAAGCCAGGTCTTTGACATGATAACAGGCAATTTGTGTTTCACAGAACAAAGGACTATCTCTTAAAATTTTGCCTTGGGTGGTATAATTAAAAACTCTCCATTCTTCCAGGTGGCTTTGGTGGCAGCCGTGGTGGTGGTGGATATGGAGGCAGTGGGGATGGTTATAATGGATTTGGTAATGATGGTGAGTATGGTTTTGTGGCTCATTTGTGGGGTTTTTTATTTACGTGTGTGTATATAAGGAACATGTAAGCAACCTCCCATTATCTTTAGAATAGGCTAGTAGAGACTAAAACTAGTGCATGACCAGCTCAACTCATCATAATACGCATGCTGTGTGTGAGCAAGCCTTTAGCCATTGTGCTTGCACAAATATTGCTTGTGAATACTTTTGTCTTATTGAGAAGAATTGTATTCTTGTAGGTGGTTATGGAGGAGGCGGTCCTGGTTACTCTGGAGGAAGCAGAGGCTATGGAAGTGGTGGACAGGGTTATGGAAACCAGGGCAGTGGCTATGGCGGGAGTGGCAGCTATAACAACGGAGGAGGCGGAGGCGGCTTTGGCGGTGGTAGTGGTAGGTATCCAGTGATCCAAGTCCTTGGTGTGGTAGCTAGACTAGCCTCTTAGAGTTTGCCCATGTTGGGATTTGATGCTTTTAGAAGCATTGTTGCACTGCATGGTATATTTCAAAAATACGTGGGCTTGCTATGCTACCTCCTCCTAGCTTTAAGCTGGGGCCGCCTCGCTCCCAAAAAATAAGACAACAAATGGATAGTGGTATCTTGATTTGGAATTAGATTAGCTTCCACTGCAAGATTGAACATCTTAAGTCATTCTTAGGACCTTAGGCACTTTGTTGATGTATCCGCGTAACTTGTTTGTAGTGGTCCTAGATGCAAAAAAAAAAAAAAGCAAAAAACCTTCAGGGCTAGAAATAAGTTAAAATACATGTTTGATGATCTCATTTTGGTGTTGAATTGGGTTGATATTAAATTGCTGGATCATTCTACTTAATGCCTTGCACAGAAAGGATGGAAATGCAAAGCTAACCGGTGACTGGAGCCATTAGAGTTTGAGAAGAAGGCAAACAAATGATAAAAAACCTTTTTCCACCTGTGAACACTAAGATAAAATTGCAAACTATCATTTTCCCCATAAGTGACAAGGAGAGGCCATTTTTTCCCTTCTTAGGAAGCAATTTTGGAGGTGGCGGAAGCTACAATGATTTTGGCAGTTACAACAATCAGTCTTCAAATTTTGGACCCATGAAGGGAGGAAACTTTGGAGGCAGAAGCTCTGGCCCTTACGGTGGTGGAGGTCAATACTTTGCCAAACCACGAAACCAAGGTATCGTTTTTAAACAGTCTCTTAAATTTGAGTCTCATTGTATACCTTGTCTCAAATAGAATAGCATTATCAGGCAATTCCAAAACTTCAAGAATTCCCCCCCCCCACAGGTGGCTATGGTGGTTCAAGCAGCAGCAGTAGCTATGGCAGTGGCAGAAGGTTTTAACAATTGCCAGGTAAGTAAACACCTTTTCATATTTTGGCTTAATTTTTTGTAATTGCTGATAAACCCAGTAACCCTAATATAGCCGAGCAGTGCAAATTAGTTAACATAATTGCAGTAAAATTGTGGTTGTTAATATTCAGAATAGCAAAATTTGTGGGAACAACTTGCTATTGGATTGTAGCCTTGAGTCTTAATATGTTTAGATTAACAACTTTATTCCATATTGTTCAACAGGAAACAAAGCTTAGCAGGAGAGGAGAGCCAGAGAAGTGACAGGGAAGCTACAGGTTACAACAGATTTGTGAACTCAGCCAAGCACAGTGGTGGCAGGGCCTAGCTGCTACAAAGAAGACATGTTTTAGACAAATACTCATGTGTATGGGCAAAAAAAAAACTCGAGGACTGTGTTTGTGACTAATTGTATAACAGGTTATTTTAGTTTCTGTTTTGTGGAAAGTGTAAAAGCATTCCAACCAAGGGTTTTAATGTAGATTTTTTTTTTTTTTTCACCCATGCTGTTGATTGCTTAAATGTAATAGTCTGATCATGAAGCTGAATAAATGTCTTTTTTTAAATGTGCTGTGTAAAGTTAGTCTACTCTAAACTGCCCCAACAGTGTGAAGTTTAGAATTCCTTCAGGGTGATGCCAGGTTCCATTCAAAATTTACTTAAAACCTTAGACTGCTTGGGGGCACAGAAGCCGTTGTCTTCAGAAACCTTGGTGTAGTTGAACTGACAGTTACTGTGTTGTGACAGAGTTCACCATTAAAATGGTTACCCAAGCAAAGTTAACAGAATTTATTTGGTTATAAAAATGATTGTTGGAACATCCTATGCAATATATCTAAATTGAATCATGCTACCAGATAAAATTATAGATGGGATTGAAGCTTATGTATCCATTATCGTGTGTAATCAATAAACAATTTAATATCTTGAATGGAATGACAACTGTATGGATTTGGGACTGGCAGAGATTTGGACTTAACCCTACCCGTTACCCCTGAACAATGTTGAATGGCCCTCACAATCAAGTTCAAAACTCTGCCAGAGAATAGACACTAGCTACTGGCTAAGCCACTCCATAAGTCCACAGATTGGAAGTTTTGGGGAGACTTTTTTAAAATATAACCAATACCAAATTAACAGAAAAATTACGCTTACATTAAAGGAAAACTGCAGTTTTACTGGGTTCTGGTTGGGTGGATCTTTATAGAAGCTTATAGATTGAGCACAGTTCGCTAACAGTAAAATTGTAGAAAGGGTAAGAAACTACATTATCTGTAAAAGTTTATCTTACCTGCAGTTTTCCTTTAAACATGGCACAAGAACACACAACCATCCTAAAGTGTTAATTGTATAGAAAATTATTTTTAAATCTTTAATGATTACTTAACATAATTGTTATTTGTACATAAGTTCTGAGCCTTCTTTTGGTACCCCCATAATTTCAGTGCCATTGTACCTGGTAGTATAGAGATTGTTGATCAATGGGACTGTGTATTCCATCCCATGGGTGTGTTAATTGAAGCTTGGGGAGGAGGGTGGAGGGAGGTGAGGGAAAAGTGGGGGTGGGTGGGAAAGTATGGATAGTTCCATGGGTTTGATATTGGCTGAGTCTGCGATAGCAGGTGGAACCTTAACTGTTGAGGGAGTTTGCAGATACCTCAGGATTCCTGACAATGCGTTTAAAGATCCAGGAGAGATGTTCAGCTACTAGGAACTGCTAGCAAGTATAGCCCGAATGGCTCCGAGCTCAGACACTCTACAGCTGAGATTAGACACTTGTGGTATGTGGAGTACAGATAAGCCAGGGGCAGGCCACGGCTCGCTCCATGAAAGCTAGGAGGGAGTGAAGTTTCAGTGACCATCGCAAGGAAGGAGGCAGACAAGAGTAAGGCACACCTGACTCTTAGGACTAGCAGTAAGAACCAGGAGGAAAGGTTTTATTGCTATGCTGGTAGGTAAGAACAGATTTTACTTACATCCATATAGTTATCTAAAATCCAGTTTTCTCTTAATGTTTTCTTACTAAATTGAGCCAAAAGAAAACTAGTCCAGTTAAGCTGAATTTGGTTTTTCTGGAGATGACTATAAATCAATGTCCTAGTCTTGGTGGCTCCCAATTGAAGGAAGTGAGCACTTTAATTTATGTTTACTGTAATTCTGCGATATATATTTTCTTGCCCTTTAATTTTGACTAATCTCTATCCTTTGACTATTTTCTTAAAACGGCTCAAAGTAATGTATTATCTTCTCCATGCCCCTAAGGTTTATTGTGGGAGGGTGGGTGGGCCATTAAGGGGAGGTAAAGGGTTTAGTTTGAGATGGGATTTGGTCTCAGAAAGAAACTAGTTCTAAAGGTTGTTTACTTTTCTAGGAGAGAATCTGCTACTACAGGCTATTGGGCTCTCTTAAAAAATCATCCGTCCAAGCTCATAACTAAAAGGTAAGTTTTTTGTTCTTGCTATTTCTACAGTAAATGAGAATGACAGACTGCCCCTCAAAACCCAATAATCTTACAATGTGGTCTAATAGTGTAAGCAGTTGTTCAAAGAGATGGATGGCATTTTAGAATCTTTGACCTCTGCTATGTAAATACTAAATGACCTGTTCTCTTTTTGCAGGAACATCCTTGTGAGGACAGCCTTTATTTGAATCCCTGTGCCTTCTCACTGCCATGCAGTTGACATTGGCTACTATGCAGCTCAAATAATTAGATTGTGTGAATGGATTTTTAATAAATTACATTTAATTTTGCTACCTGTGTGTTTGTTCATATGCATGGTAAATAATTTGGTACACATTATTTCCTGTTTCAAGTGTAGAAGTGAGTGAGATTTTTCACTGTTTTTTGAGGGGAGATAGAATCTTGAAATCCCACCTTAAACCATTAACGCCCCTATTCCTTATCAGTGCTTTTGATCTTTAAGTTGTTAAACTGTAAGAGCAAGACCTTGTATAGGTATATAGTAACTACTTTTTGAAGCCTGTATTAAAAGATATGGAATGTTTTAAGCAAGGAAACCATGTTGAAATAAGGAGGAAAAATTGGGATTTTGGGAGTGGTTTTAAGAAATTGTTTCATTCCACATCATGGTTTAATGAAGGTGGAGAAGCCAGCTCTAATTGCAGGAATAACTTGGCCCACTAGAAGTAAGCTGTTTACCGTCTTGCTCCACTTAAGCATGTTACTTTTCTAGCTCCCTTGGCAAGGGAAAAACAAGTTGTAAAACAAGCTAACAGCTGCCATTGAGCTTCTGTGAATCTCCTCTGGGAGCTATGCTTATCAGCTGTTAAGTTGTGGAGAGGCATGATGGATCTCATCTTGGGTGAACAAGTTGGATTTATTGGCCAGCTGTCTCAAGTCTAAAAGGGGGATGAAATGAATATGGAAGAGAATCCTTCTATAAGGTAATTTTAAGGGCAACTTAGAAATTGCCTACCATCTTAAAGGGTCATCATCCAGTCTTAATTTTAACCTAGCAAAACTTGAAGGAGGTGCTTGAACTTGTTTTGGTTGTAAGGTACGTTTTACTGGAGGAAATTCTGCCTTTAGCACCTACACTATGATGACATGGCCCCATATATGGGACTAGGTTCTTGAGGAAGAGCCGTGCACTGTTACCTGAAGGGAGGAATTTCAAAGGGTCTCAGGTCTTCCAGGTTTTTCTCCCAACAAAATGAGCATGTCTAGCAATGAAAAATGAGATATGATTACCACAAGAGTAAATCTTGAATGAAGACTGGTCTTGCCCACCCAAGGTTTCAAAAGATCACTTCCCCAGGTAGCAGGGAAAGGTCATTTTACCACTAGGGTTCTAATAAGTAAGAATACATCTCTTACAAGAGGTTTCTGTACGGAGAAAGCTAAGTATATTACTCTCCTACTGTCAACACTTTAGTCCTTTGCTACATGCTTTACACATAAAATGAGAAAAAAACCTGTTGCTATCAAGTGTGTTATCACTCTGACCCTGTAAGACAGAATAGAGCTACCCCCATGGGGTTTTAATCTATGGGAGACTGCCACATCTTTGTCCTGTGGAACGTCTGGTGGGTTTGAACCACCAATCTTTTGATTAATAGCTGAGTGCTTAACCATAGTGCCACCAGCACTCCTTACACATTACTAAAGGAGGTGAGTTACATACTTTAAAGAAATAGATTAAAAGAAAATATTTGTCCAACTTCCTGCAGTCACAGGATCATAGAACACATCCCTCTGGTGATAAAACTGTTACGCCTTTTGTTTTTATGTCACTGCATACCAGACAACTACACATGCGCCAGGTTGTGTGCCCAAACTTAGGATGTATTTGGATTAGGACCCTCTGGTTCATTTTGTACATTTTACCATTAATGAGGAGCTCTGGTGGCATAGAGATTAAAGCATTTGGCGGATAACCAAAAGGTCAGTAGTTCAAACTCATGAGCCACTCTGCGAGGGAAAGATGAGGCAGTCTGTTTCTCTAAATATTTACAGCTCTTGAAAACCCATGGGGCCGTTCTATTCTGTCCTATAGGGTCTATGAGACCAAATTGACTTGATGGCAGTTGGTTTTTTGGTTTATCATCAATACAATGTTACAGCACATAATTCATTGTTACCATTCTCAGATGTTTAATGTTCTGATTTATAAAGATGTGATGTTTGGAGCTGTGTGTCAACTTGGCTGGACCACAATCCTGTGTGGTTTAAGCAATTGTATGAGTTGTTCCCATGATGGGATCAGAGTATGTTTTGAGCAGTCAATCCATTGAAAGGGAATTTCCCTAGGGGTGTGGCCTGCTTCCAGTATATTTATGGACATCCTGGGAAAAGAGACACTCTTCTGTGGATAAGGATCTGTTGTGCTGCCTACAACTGTCTGTGAGCAAACAATCCACCATTCAGCCTGGAAATCTTGGATTCGTTATTTGTTGGAGCCAACAGCCAGTATAATGCTGCCAACCTTGAGCTCATCAGCCCCTGCAGCTGCGTGAGTCAGGAAAAGCCTCCAGCTTGACCTTTGATCAAAGAACTTGGGACTTGCCAGCTTCTATAAGTGTGTGAGCCATTTTCCTAAGATAAATTTCTTTATATATATATAAGCTTTACTGGTTTTGCTTCTCTGGAGAACCCAGTGTAACACAGATACTGATAATAAAAGGCAATAATAATGGAAAAAAACAAATTTACATCAGAACTGACTTACAATGGAGTCGTTGGAACAGAACCTCCTCTAAATCAGGGACTACCTGGATATGAAGATATTCCCTGCTAGAAAGTGATCTCCATGAGACCAGGACATTGTTTCTCCTGTTCAATGTATCTCCCAGTTATTGAAATAGTAACTGGTGCTTACTAGGTGCTCAATAAATATTTGTTGAATAAATGAATGTCTAAATTTGCTTTTGAATTACAACCTATTGCTAGGTTGGTTACAATAAAAATCAACTCTTACTGTCTGATATATCCCTCAAATGAGATGTTGCCAGTCCCAGGCGCTATCCTTTACAACTTCATCCTACATTTTCAATTTTTGAGAGAACATAAAGTTGATAAATTGCCTGAAGTCTTCAAATCTATTAGAAGTAAGAAACAAGTTGTATTTATTCCCTAAACCCAGACTATGTGTTTCAGAATCTACAGACATGGAGATTTCATATCTCCTTTGATCACCTTTGTCTGCTTTTAGGTCTCAACATCTGTGATGTCTGTATCAGGGAACTTGGAAGTAAGGTTTCCCTGTTACAATGGAGCTAGTAGAATTGAATAGAAATGTGGAAGTAAAATACTTGAAGAGCTGATTTGTGTAATTCAGTGATTGGGAAGATTGGGAACCATCCAACTCCAAGCAAGGAAATGGGGGTGTGGTGGTGTCAGGAAAGTTGACTGGATTTTGATAGATGTGGCTAAGCAATCTAAAGAAATTGTTTTCTATTTCCAAAACAAACTAATAAAAAACATCTTCAAGGATCTGGAAAAGAGGATCCCAAAGCAAGAGTTAGTTAATGTTTATCTAATATGGAGCTCTGGTGGCATAGTGAATATGGTACTTCACTGCAAACTGGAAGGTCAGCAGTTCAAACCCATCAGCTGCTCAGTGGAAGGAAAACAGGGATAACCAGAAAGAGAGAAAACTTAACAAAAATGCATATTGTGCTCCACTGTGAAGCAAATTTCTCTAAGGCATGGGTGTGAAATCCTCTGAAACTTGGTGTCTAATCAAACTCATTCCAAGTAAGAGCAGCTCACTCAGTCTTCTGAGAGTACTCTGGCACATCAGGACCCAAGCTGAAGGAGTGCTAGAAAAGGAGGCAGGAGGGGCAGAGCAGATAAAAAATATTCTAGCCTTTTTTGTGCTCTAAGAATGGTGTGTGTGTGTGGCGGGTGTGTGTGTGTGGCGGGTGTGTGTGTGTGGTGGGTGTGTGTGTGTATGAAAGCTCAACCAGAGCCCTTGCAGGGAGGGTCTACCCAGCTTTAGCAGTTTTCCTGGCTCTATAAGTAGGGACCACCAGGGAGTGTGGGGTTCCTTAGATCAATCATTGTCCCTGGCTCTAAAAAATGGAAATGAAAGTGATTGATCTTCGTACTACATGAGCCCAAATTTTGTGTGTACCTCTCTCCTCATATGATCCACTCCCTTCCTCCCAAACACAGAGCTCACAGGTAAGAGAGTGAGTTTAGAAAGATCCCTTCCCCAACTGGCAGTAAGCTCTGAGGAATGCTCAGCTTCATCACCCTCCCTTGAGAAGAAAGACACATGGAAGGATGTTTCTGTAGAGCACTTTATAGACCACCTGCTAGACAAGATCTGGAGGTCGGAGACCTGGGAAGCTGAGCCACAGAAAACTTTTCCAGCTTCTGCTCACAAACTCGCCTCAAGGTGAACACAACCTAGAGTCTCTAAACACCAAGTGTCCCCATGGTTGTTCACTCTGGTCTAGAGAATTCCGTTTTCTTCTGAGCTCAGGGTTGGGGAGTACCTTTATCACAAGGGAGTGAAAGAATTCCCCATTACCAGTCCCACCCCTCTGGGTCACATCAGTCTGTGGCCTCCACCTTGGTCCCCCGGGGCACCAAGAAAATGGCCCCATCAGCAGCCTGTTGCAGTGCATACTCCTCAGGGGAGTAGGTGTTGCCTGCTCCATCCCGCAAGTGCAGGAAAATGTCCCGGTACAGCTCCGTCAGCTGTTGGCGCATGGCCTCCAGGGTCCGGTCTGCCTCCCCGCGGGCCTGGAGAAGCCGCTCCCGCTCACTGCCCAGCCGCTCCAGTTCCCGCTCTAGCTGCACGATGGTCTCCAGCTTTCTCTTGCGGCAGTTCTGGGCGGCTACCTTGTTCTTGCCCCGCCGTCGGATGTCCCTGACTAGTGCCAGCTGGCTCTCCGTCAGTGGGTACCGTGCCAACAGCTCATTAAAGTCGTCTACCGGCAAGTTGACAATCTTATCCGTGGGAAAGGGGATCTTCATGGCCAGGGCCCGGCGTTCATCCCGACTCCCTGACTCCCCGCGTGTACTGGGCTTAGCCCGCACAGGACCTGAGGACGGCTCTAAGGCCAAGGGGGTCTCAGTAGGTGGCAAGGAATAGTTGGGATGGGCCAAGGAGTTGGGCATAAGTGAACAGGGGTACTCCAATGGGTACATCTCTATGTACTCACTACGTCGCCGTCCAACCTCTGTTCCCTCCAGCTCAAGAGATTCAGCATCACTATAGTTGAGGGATAATCCTGAGTCTGATTCTGGGTCTTCTTGGGGCTTAGGTGTCCCTGCAGGCAGGCCAATGTCCAGGAGGGCCAAGGGGTCTGAGATGGGCTCACTGAGGAGGCCTGACAGGGTCAGAGGCTTGGAGACTGGTATAGCCATGTTGCCATAGGAGTATGGGGGGTCTGAAACATGGGATGTGGGTGCTGGGAGCTCATAGGGTGGTGGAGGAAGGTGGAAGCCAGCATCAGGATGAACTGAGCAGGGGCAGTAAGTTGCGAGTGGTGGGGGCCCAGGGTATGGGGCTGGGGCTGGGGGCTCAAATGATGGCTCACTTGGAGCATTTAGGCCCTGCAAAAAAAGACAGAAAGAGATTTGAAGACAGGCTGGGGAAGAGACACTAGCCCTTTCTCAGCACCAGGCTGGGTCCTTCTGAAAGACCTAGTGAGATAGCAATAAGGAAGCAGAAAGGTGCTGAAAATCATTAGACGCTTTTTGTAAACCTGCAATGCATCTGTCCCAAGAACAAAGCAGCTTAAGTAAGAATGGAAGTTGCTAAGGTCAGATTTCAGAAAAGACCACCTAACATTGGAATGATTATGGAATCGCCTCCTCAGAAGTTCTTACTAGGTTGAAATGGCTCATGTTCTTTTGTTACCTTCAGGAATACAAGGAGCTATTATCCAAGATAATCTCTTAGAACCCATTCCTGCTGGGGTTATCTAGGGTCAAAGGGTCAAGTTTAGACCCTGGCTTTGCCATGGGTGCCCAGCAGAGGGAGCTGCTGTGTGGGAGGAAGGCCTGGGGCAGATCCCGAGGATGACAAGTAACATTGGCAAGGGAGAGAAAGGGGGTGAGGCAGAGCAGGGGCTGGGAACTAAGAAGCACCCCTGTGAGCCAGCCCAACCTCTGCCCTCTCCTCTTCAGCCTCTTAGTACTTTCCCAGGTGCAGCAAAGAGGAGAGAACATTCTGGAAACAGGGCCCCCAACCCACATCAAGTGAACCACCCTGCTCCAGCCCAGGTAGGGACAAAGGCACCATTGTTCAGCCAACAGACACCCCTTTGTCCAACCAGCAGGAGAGAGGACCCCGGCATAGTCTGACTCCCCTTCCCGAGGCCCCTGAACTCCTGCTCTGTTACCTGACAGAAAGGGCCCAGCTGCTAAGGGCAGGGGGAAGAAAAGAGGAAAGAAAGAAGATGGGCAGAGTGGGAGGAAAGAAATGTCAAAAGAGAAGGGGAGGATAGAGAAGGAAAAAGAGTATGGGGCAGGAGGTGGGGTAGAGAGATGTGAGCAGTGAGGGTGTAGGCTCAGATTCTTCCCTTTCCACCACTCCTATCCTCTGCTTGATATTCTGGTCTTCCATTCAAGATCTTGCTCAAACTCCAGCCCTTCCTTCTCCAGTGCCTGGAAATTTTTCAGCTTGAGACCCTGAGCCCTGCTCCCTCTACCCCTTTTCCTCAGTCCCAGATGAGCCCTTGCTTCTCCCTTCTCTCATCTACTCCTCCTCCTCCTGCTGCCTACCCCCTCCCACATACTCACCTGCAGCTCAGTGATGGACATGATCTCTTGCCAAGTCAGTTCCATCTCGCCCAGCTCCAGAGTAGGCAGCCGTGTCACCCTGTTCCTGCTTTGCTGGGGAGGGCACGGGGGCATCCTATTGGACCAAAGCCTAGTTCAGGTTCCCCTAAAGCCCAAATGGCCCCCAGGAACCTGTGGCAATGGAGAAAGGAAAGTTAGGATCTCCATTAGTAGAGGTCAGCACCTTTGTCCTGCCTCCTTGGAGAGATGTTCCCTCCACCTTCACCTGAAGGAAGGAGAGACTTTAGCTCACTCACGTGTGCTGGACTCACCCAACCAACTCCTTAAGCTGCAAGGTCTTTTTCTGCAGTGGATCTTTATCTTATCTGCTCTGTTTGAAGGTAGTTCCTTTGGGAACACTGTAGATCTTTGCCTTTTTTGTTCCCCCCCAGACAAGATGCCTTCTCTTTTCCCCTACTTCTTACTCCACAAACCTGTTTAGGGGCAGAAGTCAGAACTTCTGGCTTTTGTTTTTTCTGTTCTCTGGGGACAACATCAAGGAAATACCTTTGCTTTCCTCATCCTTGGTATTAGGGGCTCAGTCTTTTCTTCTTAAGATAAAAGTGAGTGATTGGGGATCCTGAAGGAGTGTGTTATGGGAAGAGCCAAGCAGACAGCCCTTCCCCCTCCTTCAGATACAGCCCAGGCTTGGTGGCTGATAGCAGCCTTGCCCTCTCCTATCCTGGTCCTGGGCTCCCCTGCCTGGGCCAGATAAGAGTTTTATCAGCTGTGTGCAGCAGAGGAGGAATGGGCTCTGGAGACACTGGACCTCTACCCTGTGGCCCCACAGGGTCATCTTGGTCATACCCCAACACACACACAATCAGGGGTCTTTCCTCTTCTGAGGTAATGTAACAACCATAACAAGGATGTCTTAAGCACTTATCAAGAACTGTGCCGGTGTTTTACAGGCATTAATTTATGAGACTGATTTTCACAAAAATCCTATATGGAACTGAGATCCAAGCTGGTAAATGGGAGGTCAAATTTAAAACCTGTTGTGGCTGACTCTACCCCTCTATACAGCCTTCCAGACTTATAGATGACTTCCCATGTTACTCCTGTCTCTGTACTCCATGCTTCTTTCTATTAGTCATCTACACCAATCAATTCTCTTTGTGCAGTCTCAGTCTCTTTTCTCTTTTGGGGAATATCTCTAGAGCCTTGAGTATATCCCCTACTTCCACTCAGCCCTTTTTCTTTTGATCTAGGCTCTAGCTGCAGGTCTGCCACAAAGCAGCAGTGTGATGTTGGGCAAGTCATCTTGCTTCTCTGGGCCTCTGTTTCCTCATTTATAAATGAGGGAGTTGAACAAGTTGAACTCAGTGGTCCTTTCTGCTTGGACAGCTTAGAGTTCTCACCCCAGCTTTCACTTTCTCTTCTCTGTCAGCACCTCTTCTAATTTTACCTCCCTATCCCCTGACACTCATCTCTTCCTGCATCTTCCTACCTTGACCAAGGGATTCCCAGAAGCTTTGGAGTGGTGCTCCAGAAACCTGAGGACCAGGACTGACAGCCCTGCCTGCCCTCCATATACATAAAGGCAAGCAGGCTGGGGGTGGGTGGATGAGACTTGTAGAAGGACTTTGGTTGGATAGGACTGGATAACCTCAAATTGTATGACCTTAGACCATCACGAGGATAGCCCATCATAGCTATTTAATATGGAATCCATTCTATGATTTTATCACAAAATTATTGACAATTGCAAATTATCCTTTTCAAAGAGGATCTTCCCTAGTCCCATCCCCTTGTTTATATTGCCATCTCTAGAGTTGAGAGTCTCATAGTGATCCTACAGGACAGAGTAGAACTGCCCCCAAAGGGTTTCCAAGGCTGTAAATCTTTATGGAAGCAGACTGCCTCATCTTTCTCCCATAGAGTGGCTGTTGGATTCGAACCACCAACTTTTTTGTTAACGCCATCTGGTTGCTCTGAGTTGGAATCGACTTGATGGCAATGGGTTTGGTTTTTTGGTTTTTGGTTTAGAGCTGAGAGTTGGTGTAGGGAAAGGCTCTTGGCTAGTGGGCAGAATGGGTGGGGTGTTTATGTCTGTCCAGGATGCCATTTCAACACCGGAACCCCACCCTCCCCACCCAGGTTCTGGCGGAAATTGCCCAAAGGCAAAGTGAATGGAGAACAGGGTTGGGGGCAGGGACAATGACTCTTGCCTCATAGTCCTTCACCTCTCTCCTCTGTCCCTCCCTCTGTCTTCCTGGATCTGACTCTAAGGTGCAGTACAAAGATTCTGCCCTAGGAGGCAGGGGACCTCGTTCTCTGGCCCTCTAGATGCATGACCTTGGGCAAATTGCTTCACATTCTTGGAGGGTCCACTGAGTGTCAGTCTGTTCCATTAAATGGAGATAGAACTAGAGAACCTCATTGGTGTATGAGGCAGTAGATTGCATGTAGCTCAGGGAATCACAGACTTTCATGTATGCACATTTTCCCTGGCGTACTTATAAAAACTCAGATTCCCAGAGGCTTCCCCAGACCTACTGAATCAAATCCACAGGTGCTTGTACCAGGAGTCAGCATTTAAACACCTTGAGAAATATTGAGCAGGTCCAAATGTATGGATTCACAGAAAAGAACACAAAGCCAGAAAGGAGACTTGAAAATGATCTCCAGGCTTCTTCTAGCTTCCAACCTTTGACCCAGGAATGCTGGACTCCAGGTTGTCCTGGTCACTGAGGCTAAATATTACCCCCTTCTCATCAAGCCCTGGAGCTCAGTCTCCCGCTTTCCCTGTGACAGGGAACTGAGAATTTAGAAGAGGAGAGAGGATGGGGGGGAGCAAAAATTAGAGGAGAGGGAATTGAGGAGAACTTCTGTATCAGCTCCAACCAGCTTTCTGTGGCAGTAGCAAGTTCACACCAGGCTAAAGGGGGAGCAATTTGTTTTTTGCTAGATACTTAGGGATGAGTGGTGGTCTATACACTAGGCATAGGCCCTTCTGGGTCTCAGGAGCCTACCTTTTAGAGGACAAGGGGCTGGCACCTAGTGGGATATATCAGAAAGGAGGGTGAAGACAGAATGAGATTGAGAACATCATAGTGGGTGCAGGAACTAGGGAGATACTGGGAAAGAGGAGTGGACCTTGGAGGAGCTGAACTGATAGAAATCTCTCCATGTTGCTTTTCTTTTACAATCAACAGTTCCCATTTTTCAGTTTAGCCTGCATTCTGAGGTCACACAGCTATCTTACTCCCACTAGGTTGGTTGTTCTATCTCTTATTCTTCAACATCTTGGATCAAGTAGGATGGAACAATCTCCAAGGATTACCATCCATCCCCCTACCTCTCATCCTGATAGTCCTACCCAGAAAGATTGGATCACAATCCCTAGGTACTCACAGAAGGGCATCAGAGTTTTGCAGATACAGTGTGAGGATCATTTGGAGAAGGATGCTGGTGAGAAGAAGACACAGTCACAATTGCTCCCCTGGAGCTCTGACTTCTTTGAGGGGGGGGGGAGTGGTAGAGAGCAGGCTGTCAGAGTGTCAACAGAGTCGGTGAAAGTATATAGAGGAAGTTTGAAAAAAGAAAGTATATGGAGGGATCAAGAAAGTTAGGGTATGGAGTGACACATGAGCAATCTATTTAGAAAGGTTAGGGAGAAGCCTCAAAGAAGCAGAGGCCTTCTAGAGAAACAGAATGGAAGACCAAAGAAGAGAGATTTGATTGGAGCAAGATTCAATCCCCCGGGGGCATACATGACTCAGCTCAGTATATACAATAAGAAGAGAGGGGGACAAGCTTCTGCTGTTCTGTAACAGCATCCCTAGACCCCAAACTCCAGTCCTTTGGGGGCTAATGACAAGAGAATCCCAGCACTCAGCCCATCACCCCTTCCATTTCTTCCTACCCTCCTACCTCTCAAGCTGCCAATTAATTCCAGTTGGGAAGGAACTACAATGGAGGTTGGATGACTTCCTGTCCCTTTCAATTCCAGCTTATTTCTACTGTCCTTTGGGTCCAGAGAAGAGAAAGGACAAAGGCAAAAACCCAGCACTCTTGCCTAATCAGCCCCATCATGCTACAATGAATACTTTTTCCACATCCAGGTACCCAGTGTCCCCAATTCTTTAGTGTTCCCGCACCTTCCAGCAGACTAAACAGGGCAGGGTCATGGAATAGGATGGAGGGGAGGATGGTACCGAAAGCCTAAGAGTCTATCAGCTCCCCCAGAGCAGCCAGGCTGGCTGTTGAAAGGCTCATCTGCGCCATTCTCCAGCCCTTCAAGGGTCCCTCAGGGACCCACTCTTTGGTCCACATGTACAGCCTCCCATCTCAAGGATCTTAGCATTCAAGAAAGCATCTAGGTCTTCTTCCAGAGGAATTCTCAAAGATGTCAAACTCGTAAACCAGGGGCAGCCTGGTAGTTGGTTATTTTATTCCCTCCTCCTCCTCCACCTCCCCAGCCTGCCCTTCAGATCTCACTAGAATCCCCCCTCCCACCCCAGCCCTCAGGCACCTGTGGCAGAGTCCAAGCAGGGTGAGGAGAGAGATGAGGCTCCGGGTGTCGTCTCTGAGGAGGCTGGCCCTGGGCTAACACCTCCTGGGTGAGGATTCCTCACTACCTATAAGAACCAGGCAGAGACCCGCCCCGCCCCTGAGCCATTTCTGAGCGCTGACTGTGGAGGCTGTAGCTGAGCTAGGCCAGTCCCGGGGCAGGCGCACCACACTCTTCTCTGAAGCTCTAGGCCTGAGTTCTCGGTCTTTCCTTCAACCCTCCCCTTTCCCTGTGGCCCTCCTCTCCTCCTGCCCCTTCTGGCCAAGAGAGGAAACTTGAGCCCAGTGTGGTTTCTGCCCACACTCCCGCCCCCACCTTGCTCCTGGCCAGCGGGGGCACACATGGCTGCAAGCCTCTAGAAGCCCTCCTTTTGAGCCCAGGAGCCCTGCCAGGTCTGCATTTATTCCCTATATATGATGAATCCCAAACCAATGGTCCGCTTACAGTAACCTAAACTTTATACAGATTATAGCCTCCTTCCCTCTACTGCCTTGGCTGTCAGGAAACTGAGTCATAGCAAGGGAGAGGGCAGCTGAAGGTAAGAACTAGGTATCTAGCTTCTCAGCTATTTAGGGAGGTGAGCATTTAGGGAGAGGGCTTTATTTAAGAAAAGTCTAGGCTCTGGGAGAAGGTAGGGGAGCTTTTGGGGGAGGAGAAGCTGCTGCTGCTTTGATGTGTCCTTTCACCTGTAGCCTTCTCCCCTCCCCCCAGCCTCAGATGTCCTAGGACAAAGGCCTCTTTCTTGGCCAGATTTTTTGTCAGTGTGTGAGGGGAGTTGGGTGGAGACACCCAACAGGAGATTGTTCACCTCCCTTAAAGGGGCCCCCAGATACCCTCTGGTCTCCTCTCTTCCAGGCAAGATGCCCCAGTCACATGGCAGTCACACATCCTAGACAGGCCAGTGCACGTGTGTAGGATATCAGGTCAGTCCCCAGGTACAAACAGCAGCTCTGTGTCAAGCCAACAAGTATCCCTAGAAGTCATTCATTTATCCCTTTGCCTCCAAGCCATGCAATCCAAGCCTCAGACCAGAGTCCTCTCTAGAGACTAGGAGAGGAGACTTGCTTCCTCAAAGCTTTTAGTGGCTTTCAGCACTAAGAAAAGTCCTTTTTATGTCTAGTCTCCATCCTTACAACTGCAAATTATACTTTTCCCCTGTTTTTTTTCCTCATATGGAAGAAAATTTAAGTTACACTGGAAACATTGAAAGACTGGAGAGGAAGACAGATGCCACCTCAAGGCAAGGTTGGCACTTAGCCAACATGCCCTGATATGATTGTTCACTGTTGAAATAATAAAAATGTTCTATCCTAGTTGATAAAAACAGCTGCTATCCTCATAAAAATTAAAAACTTTGGTTCATCAGAAGACTTTATAAAAAAAGTGAAAAGACAAGGTTACTTTTGAGTGGACCATCAGGTTGGGATTCATCATATAGAGGGACATTCTATCTACTGGGAGAATATCTTCAGAAAATATATTTGCAATAAGAATCTGAATATATATATATATATATATATATCAAACATCACCAACTTAATAACAAAAAGACATATAAAGTAGGTAAAGGACCTGAATAGACATTTCACCAAAGAAGATAATTCAAATGGCCACCAAACACATGAAAAGGTATTCACCATCATCAGCCATCAGAGAGATGCAAACCAAAACCACAATGAGATGCCATTACACTTCCGCTAGGATGGCTAAGATTAAAAACGAACAAACAGAAAATAAGATTGGTGAGGATGTGAGGGAATTGGAACCCTTCTGTATTTCTGGTGGGAGTGCAAAATGGTATAGCCAGTGTGGAAAACAGTTTGGTGGTTCCTCAGAAAACTAAAGATAGAGCTACCATATGACTGATAATTCCACTCCTAGGTACATACCCAAAAGACCTGAAAGCAGAGACTCAAAAAGAGACTTCTACACCAATGTTCATTGCAGCACTATTCCCAATAGCCAAAAGGTGGAAACAATCTAAACGCCTATCAAAAGATGAATGGGTAACCAAAATGTGGTACATACATACAGTGGAATACTACCCAGCCAGTAAGAGAAATGAAGTCTTGACACATGCTACAGTATAGTTGGAGCTTGAAGACATTATACTGAGTGAAATACATCACAAAAGGACAAATATTGTATGACCTTGCTTACATAAAAAGACAAGAAAAGGCAAATGTAGAATCCAAAGTCCAGTGGGTACCAGGGGCAGCAGGAAGAGGGGAAATGGGGAGTTAATGGCAGGATTGCATAACCAATTATTGTTATTGTTGTCAATAAGTTGGACACCTGTAAAAAACTGAATTGGCAATAGTTGTGTGATAGATATGTTTACAACAATGATGAAAAAGAGAAGTTGTTGCTGAGATTGCTAATATACAAGCAAACACCTCACAGGATTTGGTTCCTTGGTTTGGAGGTTTAGGGTCATGGCTTCATGGGACGTCCCAGTTAAATGGACTAACAATGTGTTTAGTGCTTCTGCTCTACTTCCTAGTTCATTGTGTAGTTGCCCGGGGTCTTAAAAGCTTGCAAGTGACCTATACAACTATGAGACCAGAAGAACTAGATGATGCCCGGCTACCACTGTCATCCACTTGGAAGGGATGTAGGAGATCCTGGATAGAGAGGGAGAACAATGTGGAACAAAACTCAAAATCATTTGGAGGGGGAAAAAAAAAAGGGGACCAGGTTTGCTGGTTCAATAGAGCCTGGTGAAACCACTGAGACTATGGCCCCTAGCTGCCCTTCAGGTCTGGGATTGAACCCACACCTGTGGTTGCCAGCCAAACAAAGAACAGGCAAGTGAGTTAAACATTTACCTCAAGTAGACACACACCCTGGAGAGAACAATCATGGGAGAAGGAAGGGCTGCTTATGCACAGGGAGACAGCTCAGGGCGCAGAAGAGTATGGAGGGATGGACACTGGGAAGAGGTAACTATGGGGAGGAGTGGGAGGGGAGCTGTTGCATTGTAAATTTTGGTCAATCACATGAGACAAAGTATATGTGAACTGCTGTATGAAAAGTGAATTTACTCTGTAAATCTTCACCCAAATCAAAATAAAATTAAAAAAAAAAAAAGCTTGCAAGTGGCCATCCAAAGTACAACTGATCTCTATTCACCTGGAACAACAGAGGAAGAAGGACGAAGAATAGGAGGAGGATATGGAATGTGTGGCTAATTGTCTTCATGAACAACTGCTTCCCTTGCCATGAGACCAGAAGAACTATCATTACTGAACATTTTGATCAAAGATTCCATAGAAGCATCATGATCAAAAGAGGGAAAATGTAGAACAGAATTTCTAATTCTCATGGACTTTACACTTTCTAGAGCCATGGAGGGTGAATGAACCCCTGAAACTATTGCCCTGAGATAATCTTTAAAACTTAAACCAAAAATATCCCCTGAAGTCTTCTCAAAACCAAATAGTTTAGCTGAATTCATAATAAAAGTTCTGCCTTGATAGTTCTTTTGTAAGAACTATCTACATGGGATCAAATTGGCAAAAGCAACTCGAAAAATTAGATAGGAATCTTAGGGGGCAGTAAATTTATGTTAATGATGGAGGAACAACTCAGAAAAGGGAGCTGAGAATAGTCGCACAACTTGAAGTATATAATCAATGTCACTAACTGTACATGTAGAAACTGTTGAATTGGTGTATGTTTTGCTGTGTATATTCTCAACAACAATAAAATAAATAGAATTTAAAGAAAAAATAAAAAAGAATTAAAGACTGTTGGTAAGAATAATAAAAAAAGAGAGAACAGTGGCTGTGAGTCCACCAAATGCTTCCTACCCCTACCTCAGCTACCCTAGTTTTCACCCCTCACAATCTAGCAACACAACCAAGCAACTAAAGAGGCAATGCTGGTACTGCAAGAGGGCCTTAGCACAGCCTGTGTGTGCTGGGCTTGATCACTAGTGTCCTTGTGCCAAGCCCATGGTTAAATGTTTTGCATTCCACCCTATCCCAGGAGATCATGACTCTACATGCATGATTATGTAGGACAGGAGGTGACAAGACCCCCAATGATGTCATTGCATGTTCCACGTGGGTTTAGAATTTCTAGATGAGCTAGACTTGAACCTAGGTCACATACTTGGGGAATCAGATATAGCTCTCTCACATGCATATGTATTTGGGTCCTTCAGAGGGGATGAGGGGTAATAGTAGTCATACTTGTGGCTGATTAAATAATGATGTCAAGTTACAGTTAATCAACAAACATTTATTGAATGAAAACTACCCGTGTTTCATACTCCAGGAACACAAAGATGAATAAAACATAGTCCATGTGTCTAGTCAGGGAATTGCATTAATGAAAGTTTATATAAAATGCAATGGAGCAGAGGAGGAAATAAATTCTGCCTGGTGAAGTTCAGGGAAGGCTTCATAGAGGAGGTGACAATTGACGTGGCTGAGGAGAATGGCTAGGCATTCACCAGGCAGAGAAGGGACTGGAAAAGAGTAATCCAAGCAAAGGTAGGTGTGAAGGCACAAAGGTTTTAAATAGAGTGGGGTTTGGGATAGGATGTGGTGGAAGATAAGTGTGAAAAGTTTGACTGGGGCTAGATTGTAGTGGTGCAATGGTTAAAGCACTCAGCTGGCAACCGAGAAGTCAGCAGATCAAATCCACCCAGTGGCTCCATGGGAGAAGAGAGTTGGAGGTATGCTCCTGCAAAGATTTATGGAAACCCTATGGGGCAGTTCTACTCTGTCCTTTAGGGTCATTATGAGTTGGAATTGTCTCCATGGCACACAACAACAACAGATTGCATGAAGTCAAGCTAGGGAGATTATATTTCATCCAGAAGGCAGTGCGGATTCACAGAAGTGTTTAAAAAACAGTTTACTACTTATTTGGGAGAATTTACACAGTCATGTAGGGTGCACTAAGTAGACAGCCTTGGCTTAGTCCTCTGGCTAGAAGGTTGTGTCCCTCCCATCCCCCCTCATTCCCCTCCTGTAGGAAGAGGCCGTTACTGCGGTTCCCAGGCTATGTCCTGCCTCTAAAACACCCTTTACAACCCTCAGAGGAGGGGACAGTTCTTTTAGTCCCCTCCTCTCAGGTTCCTGAGGTCCAGAGTCAAAATCATCTACCTTAAGCCTCCTTTGCTTGCCTTATG